GTACTATGCCACACGCAACAAACACGTCGCTTTGATATAGGAGCAACAACAGGCATTGCTAATTCTAATATGTACTACTTCTCTTTCAAATATTTATAATTACATGCAATAACAAAATTATATCGATATTAGTGAGTCGATAGACACCAAAATATGTTATTCGTTATGCCAAAAGTCTTGTCTGTAGCATAAAATTGTTTTGCTTGTTCATCCATAATTTCATATATGTATATATATATATATGTATATATACATACATATATATATATATATATACATATATATTATTTAGAAGCTCATACTATAGAATAAAACAGATTCGTATGTAATCTCACAAACTCCGTATCTTTGTACATGATGTTGAGATCGATCTGAAATCTAACCTATTCGTTAGATATGTAACGGATCGATCCAAAAAGTCCTTTATACGTAGAACAAGCTACAATAACACACTTTCTTCGTAGAAGAGAAGGCATTGGCTGAGAAATGTCTTGAAATAAATTCGATCGAAGTAGCAATCGGGAGAGAACGACTTCAGAGCATATTCTATTCTCACGTTTACCCAAAACCCATGTGACGAGGGTAATGTGTACGTAGAACTTTCGATCCACTATTTTTCCTTTAAATCAATTCTCCGATATTCCGATACACAATCGTAATTACATCAGCAACAACAAAGAAAGATACAGCCGTAAATTACTAAAGTAACTGGCAGCCATTTTGAAGTGCCACATTCCTACACCGACTTGACACTCTTTTTCGTAATTTACGGTGTACATACACGAAGCTCGTGCGCGAAAAAACAAATTGATCTTCGCAATTAACGTTGTCGTACGTTTGATGAATAATGTTTGTCATTTGTTGAAAAAACGGACGATGATTTTAAAAAGCTATATTAAAAAAGTTGATTCTTCAGCGAATTGCAACTGCCTTTTCGTGCCAAATGGATGTCAACATTATACCAATCGCTTCTGTTCTCCTATTCAACTAAGCTATTCCCTTTATCTTAACAATATTCAAACTGGTCCAATTTCAATTAAAATTACTTTCAAATTTTAAGCAAACTCTTCTCGAATATGTACATCTTTGCTACATTTATCAATTTTATGGTCATAATAATTCATGTATATAAAAATAATAACAAAATTAGCACAAAAATAGCTTTCAATTAAAACATTACTTTACGCACCCTTCAACCCTTATCATTAAATCATTTTGGTTGAATTCATTTTTAATTCTGATTAGAAATAGAAAATTACTCAACTAACTCCCTGATACGTTTCCTCTTTTTCTCATTATTGAGTATATACCTAGTTTATTAATACTAAAATTGGCGTAATATTAAAATAACATTGAATCCAACTGTGACAAAAAGAAAAAATTGTCTATTTATTGATTTCGTACTTGCATTAAATTATGAATAAAATTTCTTTCAATTATCTGTATTACTGCAAAATTTACTCTTTAAACTTAATATTTGCGTATATTAGAAATTGTTTTCAAATACTTTATTTACCAAAACTTATTCATCGTATTCGCAATTACGAGTATTGATGTAGAAAATTGTTGAAAGTGCTCATAGACATATGTATATTTTGTATGCATTAAGGGGGATAAATTTTTGCCGTTTGAGGGGAATACGACATACCAAACAGATCTCTTTTCTTTTTTCCATAAGTTTCTAGTTGTTGTCTAGCTAGAACACTAAATGACGTTCCTACCATATTGAACATCTAACCTCGACACGATTAATCAATCTATACAATATGACTAGTTTTACTCTGTTAGTAACTTTGCAACATTAGAATTTTTAAATATGCTACAAAGCTAAGTAATAAATTATTAGTTATTAATTGTATATCGTTACGTTTTAATAATGGATTTGAGACATAATCTGTATGTGACAGCTCTCGTGTGTTCTTATGAAATATCTCGATAGCCCCGTGGTATGTACATTTTGAAGTTGTTATAAATTCAAGAAATAAATTACTAGTCGTTAAATGTATTTCGATACATATAAATGCAATGATACTTAATAAACGATGATTTGTTCATTGGATCGATTATCTATCATAAAGTTTTAATAATGTCACCTAACCCATCAAACAATACCATCTACTATAGCTTTTTGTACAATATTTTTGAAAAGTTAACGATATTAAGGAATTTACATGTAAAATCACTACTGTTATTAACTTGCGAAATATTGTGCAAGAGACCTCTAAAATTTTATCTAGTTGAACGAAGTGCATAGTGTACACCGAACAGTATAGAATCTATTGTGAAATCATATATAGCACTGGACTTTCAATTGGTGGAATGACACTGGCAGCGTCACATTCTACCAATTAGAAGTCAGTAATATCATTTCATCAATCAGAAGTCTTTACAAATTTGATGTTTCCATGAGTAAATACCTACGTAGGTACCTATTCACATGTAGGTTTTTAAAAAAAAAGACAACCGCCATCTTGCATTTGTATTGTAAAATGAAATAAGTATGTATAAACTAAAATACTGGATCGGTATGAACCGAAAGGTAAATAATTTTTATTTCATTTTAATAAGTGAAGCAGTACAGTTGTAATAAGAAAAATATATTTGCACGAATGTACACGCTTTATTGAGAATAACAGAAAGAAAATGTAATATTTATTCTTGGACAGTAGGAAATAAGAGAAAATTTTTGCATAGTTGACTGAATAAGAATAATACAAATTTATGTACAACTAGATCTTTGACGTACGAAGAAGAAAAACACCATTATAATGGTAGCTCACATTATGTGTTTAACTTCTTCTGGTGGAATTCCATTATTCTCTCGACAAAAAGGAGAAGGTGACACGGTAGGAAACTTATTCAACAAAGAATATAAGAATTACATAAATATCACTAATATTTCTGTTTCTAATACTCGTAGATGACATTTTCTAAAATAGCATCTCTAAATGGAATACACATGTTTCTTAAGTCACAAGACATCAAACTTTTATACACAGACTTACCAGATACTACTGTAATGTGGAAGGAGTTTGAACAAAGCGTTACATTAATAGCTATTGCAACTGGAACTACAAAATATATTTTAACTCAATTTCTTGATGCTATATTCGGTGCTATGATTTTATTTGTTGGTATCGATGAAGTAAAAAGTGCAAAAAATATTGAAAAGCTTAAAAAAGACATGCGCTTATGTAGTCCAATTGTTGATAGTTTATTACAATGTCTTGATGCTGGAGATGGAATCTCTTTAAAAACTGATATTGTTAATATGACGGAATGTATTATGTGCAATGAAAATAATTTACTTCAGGTAATCTGAATATTTTAAATTGAAAACTCATTTTCTGTATTAAATAATAATATATTTAAGACTTGTTTAGAGGGTTATGTGGAATGTTTGGATTCTATATACGGATGTATTTTAATACATGGCTGCCTAGCAGTTGCCACAGAAGGATGGTGGAGTTTAAACCCTATAGAAAGGAAATTGTTAATAATAGCTGTTACTGCAGAAGGTGTTTGTACTACCCGCGATATTCCAGTATTTTTACCTTATAAGAGTCCAAATGTAAGTATATTTTAAAAGTTATAGGAAAATAAATTTAACGTGACAACAACATATATACATGTAACATGGGAGATGATGTAGGTGGCTTTCAGACTAGTGTCTGTTACATTGATTAATCATATCGAAGTACTTGCATTATGTGGACCACATCCAGAATTATCAGAAATTGAAAGATTTGCTGTACAATGTTGGAAGAGTAGCATCGATGCTTTACACGGGGCAGAACAGTGCTATCCAAAGAATTTACCCATGTCTATAAATTTAGATTCGGAAACGCTTGGGTAATATATAAAAATATTTTGCTTACATAATTTTATGAACAGAAATATACCGCCAAAACATGGATAAAGTATGTATTTTCCATATCTACATAGATTTCTTTTGGCAAATTATAAAGTACAGAAATTCGTACTTGGCAGAAACATTCAGTATGCTAAAAACAGAGTCAGCGGATCACACAGATTGGATATACTACGAACGTTTTATCATCAAGCTGTTGAAACCTTTATATTATCTCCTGAATCCGAAGGTGAAAGAAAGAGTGATAATTGGAAATTCGTTGGTGCAAAAGAAATATATTTATGTTCAGAATATCACAAATGTCACGCAGTTAAATATGGAGATCATATACTATGTATTTTATATGCTTCCATAGTTCCTACTCATACTATGAGATTAATTTGTCAGAAAATATTGAAAATGTTACTTGTCGATAAGTAAGATTGATAAAGAAAATGTAGTCCGTACGATTTTTTGTGTTTGCTCTATTGTTTTTATACGAATCTACTTTGTACTCTTATACTGTACATATATTCTTTTTATGTGCGCATGAATATTATTATATTATAAGAATATTATAATATCAAGGCATTGATTATTCAATGGTTAACAATGGTTGACCATTTGGTTGCGCACTTTCGAGAAAAAAAATTCTTTTCCGAATATATAATATGAGGTTAGAAATGTTCCCCTGAAAGATCATACGTAAGTACATACCTTTTTGGAGGATGTCTAGTATTATTTTCATGCAATGTTACAAATATCAAGACAATTAAACTGTTTAGAGAAATAATGCTGAAATAGAAAAAGAATCATAGGTAAAAAAATTAATTAACACCTAAAATATGGGTCGGAATGTAAAAATGCCTGGGCAGAGTCGACTGTCGAGATTCGAAATTGTGCCATTGACGCGAGGACGGACTTGAACTGTTCAGGATGAAGAAGGAAAGGCTCGCACTGGCACCGGTATTCTTTCTCGATTTCCCAATGTTGCACGAATTGTCGAGCTCGCGCAACGTGTGACTCTTACAGTAGGATATGTCGACTTACCTACCCCACCACTCCGTTCGTCGTTACTAGTGTCGCTGTCGATGCCGATGCATCAAATTATGCCAGATCTAGCCGCACTGATCTAAGGTATCCGTATACGAGTCGTATGCATCATACATCATCTGTGTTGCTGGCATTATTGATGATGATGTACGATTTTTATCCGCAATCATTCTTTACAAAGTTATACATTCATTTGTATTAATAATACGTGATTATGAGGCAGTAATCTATATCCAAATATGAATGCGACAACAGAAATTATAGTTAATAAAAAATTATATAATGCAACGGATTTTTACGTAGGTTTGGGACTAGCGATTAGTTCCTGCGGTTTTATAGGTTAGTTAAGGTTTGAATCTTTAGTAAAGAAATTGAATAATCTCTTTACTTAAAACTAATATGAACTTTGTCTGTATTGTGGTTATTTAGGCGCTAGTTTTATTATAAAAAAAAAAGCGTTAATTCGTCTGCAAAGATACGGCGCGTTACGAGCTTCGTCTGGAGGATTTGGATACTTGAAAGAATGGGTATGGTGGGTTGGTCTTCTTTCAAGTAAGTAAAAAATATTTACATATTATACAGTGTTATTTATTCATCAGTGGACTTGAAATAAATGCTGCCTATTCATACAAATGAACATTAACATTACAAATTACATAATGGATTGCAAAGAATTCTTTACTATGTATATGTATGTATAATTTGATTCGTGCAAAAAAAAAGATTGAGAAATGCTGATATATTTTTTTAAATTACATGGCTGAATTAAAGTGGGAATAGGAGAAGCAAGTAATTTTGCTGCTTATATGTTTGCTCCAGCTTCATTGGTTACACAATTAGGTGCACTCAGTGTTCTAATATCTGCAGTATTAGCATCAAAGTATTTAGACGAAAGACTTAATTTACTAGGAAAGGTAACATTAAATTGTACAATTACTTAATATTATTTACACATACTTAATACGAGAAGAAGATACATCTACAAATAACCTTCCTTTTAGATTGGCTGCCTTTTATGCATCTTAGGTTCTACGATTCTTGTACTTCATGCTCCCAAAGAAGAAGAAATTAGAACATTAAATGAGCTTTTAGACAAGATCAAGAATCCAGGATTTATTGTCTACGTTTTAGTTATAATAATATGCAGTCTTTTAATAATTTTTCATTTTGGCCCTGTTTGTGGAAAGCAGAATATAATCGTGTACATTTGTCTGTGTTCATCTATCGGCTCGTTAACTGTAATGAGCTGCAAGGGATTGGGATTGGCTATAAAAGAAACCATTAATGGATTTAATGGATTTTCAAACTGGCTAACATGGTTTTTTTTATTTAGTGTTATACTTTGCATCAGTGTACAAATGAATTATTTAAATAGATCGTTGGACTTATTTGAAACCACTATTGTGACACCAATTTATTATGTATTTTTTACAACATTAGTAATAATTGCTTCCGCTATACTGTTCAGAGAATGGGAAAATATGAGTGCAGAAGATATTTTGGGTTCTTTTTGTGGTTTTTTCATTGTGATAATTGCAATATTTTTATTGAATGCATTTAAAGAACTAGACATACACTATGGTAATATAAGTCATATATTACAACCTAAAAGGGAATTAATACGTAATAATACTCAGTGGACTATTAAGAATGAAGAAACATTAATAACAAGAACAGGTATAGAACTAGAGCATACATACAGAACTCAACCTTTATTAAGAAACTTTTAGCAATTATGCTTTGAGCATTAATAATGCGATACCGTACACAGTGATGGACATATATTTACAAATACTTGGCATTAAATTCTGTGTTTGTTAATATCGTATCGAAAGGGTATAAATAAATATCCACTGTGATTTTTTTAATGGCATATTGTATACATACATACATACGTATGTGCAGAATAATTTTTGATCAACTTAAACTTTAAATAAGATAGCAACGATTATAGTCATATTTATGTTTTGTCTTGCAGACATATATTTACAAACAATATATTTTTGATATCATGACACTAGTTTCGAGGGTCAAAATTATATCAGATATTATTTTAACTTGTAGTAACTCTAGTATTTTGTCGTTTTGCCGTTTGCATTGTCGATTGATGCACAACGCCTTTACTTGGTTTTTATCAAACAAACACAGTCATTGGCGTGAATCAAATTCTATGCATCCTCGATTAATAAAATTGTTATTATTTACATGCTTGTAAGTATATGTATGTTTGCTATTGTATGTGGTAATGTGCATCCGATACAATGTTATAATTGCGAGCAAATTGTTATTTAAAGTACCATATACGTATGTACATTCAGTTTGTAAAAATAAAGTTATTTATTTCTCCTTTTCAGGTTGTTATTAATATTTTGTTTTTTCATTAAATTTATATCTGTTACAGTTTCTGTTTTGTTCTTTATTAAAAATTTCTATTTGTACTCGTAAGAAAAAAACTTGGCTATACTAATTAGGGCGTACATAAAACTATTGTATTTTATTATTATTATACGAAAAAACATATAGAAACATTCGGTTAAGTAATTTACGTATCTTTCTTAAACAGTATTTTCAAACATTACATCCTCTTCGCTATCGGTAACCATGCATTTATATTAGCAAGGCTGTTTTTCCCGTATGTACGATATCGTAATTTCATAATACGTACAATGAACTTTTAACAGCAAATTGCAAACGTTAGATGCGAATAACTTTTAAATTTCATTAGATATTATTACAAAAAATGTTTTTATTAAATCTGATAAAATATGAAAAACATCGATATCTATTGTCTTGTGTAAAATAGAATCATTAAAATTGACGAGTTTGCATTTCTTTCGCAGGTTAGATCATAAAATTGTTTGTGGATACGTTTGATATGGTCATGACCGATTACAGTCTTACTAGATACATATCATTTAAAGTACTTACAAACGTACGTCACATATCTTAGCAATTGCAACGTTATCATTGAATCTCGTCAATGACAAACAAAATGTAAGCCGAATATCATTATAAATTGTTTGATCATATACGTATTAAGAATTGGACACCTGATTCGTGTGTCAATCTAATCCATAAGCGTCGAAACACGTTCAAGTACATACTTACATACTCGGTGTCGTTGAGTGTATAACCACAATGGCGTTCAATTTGGCCGCTTTTTCATATATTGTGGCTTTAATTACAGATGCTTTCTTGATATTCTTCGCAATATTTCATGTACGTGAAACTTACAAACGATGATGATTTTTTACACAAAACATATACCTGAATAATTGATCCGAATTGTTTCTAACCTTACGTTTTCTATGGATATTTGTCAACATAATTAAAGGCATTCAATTTTGCAGGTTATTGCGTTCGATGAATTAAAGACTGGGTATAAAAATCCGATTGAACAGTGTAACAGTTTAAATCCGGTGAGACATTACAAGCTTTTGTAACATTATAACATTTAATATTTTATTAAAAGTTTTAGTTAATGTATATTTTCATTTCAGCTAGTTATTCCAGAATATAGCCTGCATATTGTGATTAACATTTTATTTCTAATAAGTGGACAATGGTTTGCATTATTCCTCAATATTCCATTAATAGCATATCACTTATGGCAGTATTGGCATAGACCTGTCATGTCTAAACCAGGCCTCTACGACCCCACTAGTATAATGAATGCTCAAGTTTTAACAGCTCATCAAAGGGAAGGATGGATTAAACTTGCATTTTATCTCTTGTCGTTTTTCTATTATTTATACGGGTAAGTCTTTAAAGAAAATAATATATTATCCACAGTTTTAGGTATTGAAAATATGATTTTCACAAAATTTATATTTTTGTTTCAGCATGATCAGTTTATTGATTCAATGAACAAAGTATTTTTAATTCTATTTTTCATAATAATTTATCATCTTGTCTTTAGTACAATACAATTCGCAGATCCGATGTTATTCGTCAACATATAAGAAAAAACAAGATTGACCATTTTGTTAAAATATTACAATTTCTTAAAATAAAAATTAATATTCACATACTATTCTCTATTCATTTGTCATGTTGATTAATCGCGTAATAACGAAATAATATAGACGTCATTGTTATACTGGTGTTATTTTTCATAGGTCTAAAGTACCTTATTTTATTTTCCTTAGATCGGTACACATAGACATAACAATATGCATGGTCTCTGTATAAAAATAAAATGTCATTTAATGAATACTATGGTACGTTCTTACGTACGTATAATTTTTGTAGAAATATGTGTGAACTAAGAGACAATATAATTTAATAATTTATGTAGTTCCGAATTGTTTAGCAATTATATTAAATTCACGGCCTACGTAAGTACTTACCTACTTTGGAATTCTTTGCTTAGTGTATGTAGATAAAGTACAGCCGACTCTAGCATAGGTGTTCAAATAAAATTAACTCAAATCGTTCTGGAAAAATTATTTTTGATTGCGGGGGTAAATCACAATCATTTTTGATCAACAGACATATCCGCGAAATTCTACGAACTTTCGAGAAAAAAATTCTTTTTCGAAAATATAATGTGAGGTTAGAAATGTTACCTTGAAATTCCATACGTATATTTTGGAGGATTTTAAAATAAAATGAATTTTAACTTTAAAATTCGTGAAGAAGTTTATGTCTAATCGACTTTGAATTGAGTATAAATTGAATCAACTGTTTACACTCAGTCGTATTAATAACATACACATGTATACATACGTTCATTCATACGAATAATAAATATAATTCCTTTTTTTCAATAGTTAAAACATGATCAGGGATACTCGTTGAGCGTATCTATCGTAATCACCGCCAAAAACACAATTGCACTTGTACGAAATATATGTATATTTTACAGCTAAATAACTAAATACGTATCACGTGGCTCGAAATATTCCAAATAACGATCTGAACGATCGTTTATGAAAGTTGTTAAACCTGGAATACCCATTTTGAAACCTATTTATTAATTTACACTTTTCTTAATGTTTCATATCACAAACTAAGTTCGTTATGCGTATATCAATATTAGTTATTATGCATTTATACATAGGTTGCATGTAACAGGTACTCAAATTTTGTGTTGTTATTCGTTATTTTATTTGAATCAAAAGTTTGTTAAATATTATACTTTGACTACTTGGATAAATCAAAGAAATACAAGAGCTGTGCATAATGTTTTTGCATTGATCTTTACGATGTTACAAACCGTTATAATAAAAAATAAAATTAGATAGTATACTGATCTTGCATAATTAAGCGCATTGACGGGCGACAATACTAACGACGAATTTCCTTCCTATACATATAGGCAAATATACCATGTTCAGTTTTATTGCATAACTTGTTCCATAACAGAGATGTAAAGTGTCTGTGAGTTGTTAAATATAAAAGTTGTTACAAAACAGAGATGTAAAGTGTCTCTGAATTGTTAAATATAAAAGTTGTTACAAAACAGAGATGTAAAGTGTCTCTGAATTGTTAAATATAAAAGTTGTTACAAAACAGAGATGTAAAGTGTCTCTGAGTTGTTAAATATAAAAGTTGTTCAGTTCATTGCATAAGTTGTTCCCACAAATGAGATTTTCTTGGTCTTTAAAAAGACCGGTTTTCTCCCTTGCCCGCTGCTCGTGAAACATCTTCTTGGCCGCCATCTTCCATTTTGATCGAATGTAAATCTTCAATTAAATTCTTCATCTCGATACGGTCCGTCTTGCTTGGTGGTTGGGAGATAACTTCCGCGCGAGGGCCTCAGGGGGCTCTTATAACGTTTCAAGGAGCACGGACGATGGTCGCCCCCAGCGGACTGGCTGCTGATTGGCTCGTTGATACTTTGGCTTGACTGCATAAAAGTGGACACAGCTGGGCAAATCTTTTCAGTACTCCTGGAACCGCCGGGGGTACTGTTACGCGTTTTTTTCTTTCTGTTTCAGATATCTTCTGCGATGCTGACCAGGAGGGAATGGATCACCGTTTGGTATACACGTAACTAATATTAATATAACTAATCCATGTATTGTTTTTTTCCTCCTTTTTATGTATATGTATAGGTATATAGGTATTGTTGTACATATTTGGGTTGTTCCTTCCACTAATTTATTCAATTATTTTCCTTTCAGGTTTTATCATATTACATCGTTGGTTTGATATTTTTCCAATTATTTTGTTATTCGTCTTGCGCTTCGTTGGGTTGTTCCTTTCCAAATTAATCTATTATTGCACATCGTTGGTTTGTTTTTTTTTCTATTAATTCGTTTCTTCATCTTACTGCGTTGGGTTGGTCAATTCATTACTTCATACAATTAGGTTTTGGTTTTGATTTCTTATTTAGGTTATTTTTTACATGTACTATTAATTAACTATTAATTTTTACGTTAGTTTTTATGCAGGTCAATTTCTAGGTCGCCAACAGATGACGTCGGATTCATCGGGATTTACACGTAAGCGATTAATTTTAAGGCGCAGCGCGAATGTAAAAATTAACGTCGAATTTTTCTTTTTCCTTCTTTTCCTTGTTTTTCCGATGTTTCCTATATTTCATTAATTCACATTAATTCTCAATTCCACCTACGACGTTAATTTTCAATTTACATTGTATATTATTTTATTTACTGCGTAGATTGCCAAGTAATGAATTAATTAATAGCTTATTTTCCAGTCTCGTTTCCCCGTTTCTAGCTCCGGTCACCGCTGCTTTGATGTAAAAAGCAAGTGATCGGCCGTTTAGATGGTTCGAAGGGTCGGTTGCCGTCCTCTGGTGAGACAATTCTAGGGAAAGAGTCATCGGCCGTAGAGGGGACCTGTTCCTGTCTGCGGTAGCCCCGACTCAGGATCTCTCTCCTGTGTAAGACGTCCCGGGTTGGGTCCTACGGGCTCCCAGCAGGGCGCGTTGGAGAAATGGGGAACCCGTGTCTGGTGCGTCGATTCTCCTCCCCTTCAATTGGACTTGCTAAGAGGTAACGAGCTGCCCCTTTTGACCCGCTATTCGGTACGGTGTCGCACCTCATGTTCCTACTGCACTGTGCAGTATTGTGTCGCGTTTCGTCGTGTCGCGTCTCCCACAATTTCGCTTCCTCCTTTGTTTTAGAAAAGTAATTACTTGGCATCTTTTTTTTTGCGTAATCTAGTTTCTAAGTGTGTAAAAAGGAAGGTCGATCGAACTTTGTTCCATCGATCTCACTTTGGGTCTCCAATCGCAGCAACCTCCTCGTGGTGAGACCTGGTAATCGGTGTTACCTTTCAAGAAGAACTTCTTCATTATGGGTAACACCGAGCTAATGGCTGCGAAT